ATTTAGCAGTCTCTGGATGGTGCAAATGACTCATATTGACTGCTAGCTGCAGAGTTGGAGATTCGAGTCGACCCAGAGGCACCTTGGTAGAAAGGCCTGGCAATCTCCTTCTGAAATAGCTGCCATTGGAGGCTCCATGGAGCACCGCTCTGCTCTGACAGATGTGGGATTGATTGCCTTGGGTCAGGGTCCACTGGGCCGCCCCTGGTTTGGCTTAGCTTCCTAACATTTCATTGTCTTCTCCTAATGACCCCAATGAATTAGAACGGCTGCCATAGGGCCCTCCACACCTAGGCAACAGCTTGACCTTGATCTGAGAGTTCTGGCAGCCAGCAAAGAGCTTTAAGGTGTGTGACCTTCAGAATCTAATACTTTGTGCTCCCTGAGCCTTTGTATGGAAAACTAAGCCAAACTCACTGCTGGCTGAGTTCATGCCGACACCTTATCAGGCCAGGTCAGTTTCTGAGACTGGAACTGTTTTTGAGAGTAGAAAGTCCCGTCTTCTCCCCAAGGAGTGGCTGGTGGTTTCCAACTGCAACCTTGAGGTTAGCAGCCCAACATGTAATCACTAAGCCACCAGGGTTCCTGGAGGGGATGGAAAGAGACTTAAAAGCTAGATAGAGTTGACTTTTTATTGGCACTTCATCCACATATCACACAATTTAATAGTTCAATCATAGTCAAAAGACTTGTACAATCATTACCACAATCAATTTTAGGACATTTTCTTCTTCCTTATATTCAATGTTATTCCTGTAATTATTATTTTTTAATCCTGGCAAAAAATACACACCATAACATTCTCCAATTCAACAACTTCTACATGTAAAATTCAGTGCCATTGATTATATTCTTCGTGTTGTACAACCATTATTGATTACCTTTTCCAAATTATTCCATCCCTATTAACATAAACTCAATGCTCTCTAAGCAAAAACTCTCCTTCGGCCATGGTAACCATTCGTCAAGTTTTTTAAAAAATAGTTTTCAAAACTATTTTAAAATCTTTTGTAAAAATAGTTTCTTGATATAACTATTTTTAAATCTTTTAAAAAAATCATTTTATTGGGGGCTCGTACAACTCTTATCACAATCCATACATCCATCTATTATATCAAGCACATCTATACATTTGTTGCCACCATCATTCTCAAAACATTTGCTTTCTGCATGAGCCCTTGGTATCAGCTCCTCATTTCCCCGCTCCCTCCCCGCTCCCCTATCCCTCATGAACTCTTGATAATTTATAAATTATTATCATTTTGTCATATCTTACCCACTCCCTTCACCCACTTTTCTGTTGTCTGCCCGGCCCTGCACCCTCCTCAGAGTTCTTATTGCAGCCGTTGTGTCAGTCATCTTGTTGAGTATCTTCCTCGCTCATTGACACTCTACCAAGCATGAGGTCATTTTCCAGGGACTGAGTTCTCCTGCTACTATGTCTAAAGCACCTGAGATAAAGTCTCCCATCCCTACTGCCAAGGACTACCCTACCCATACTCCCTCCAGGGTCATTTGTTGGTTTTTCTGGTCTACCACAGTGCCTTCCACATTCTTCTACAACTTCGACAACGCCGTAATTCAAATGCTTCACTTCTTCTCCAGTCTGTCTTCCTTGCCTTGCCAGCAAATTCAAGCTCCTGCCAACTCATATTCACCTTATAGGACAGAGTAGAACTGCCCCTTTGGGTTTCTGAAGCTGTAAATCTTTGCAGAGGACCAGAAAGCCTCATCTTTCTGACCTTGCTAACTCAATGTAGAACCCACTGCGCCTCAAGGGCTCCTCCACCTTATCTCCAGGCTTAAACTCAACTGCCGCTGAGTTGATTCAGATTCATAACGACCCTATAGGCCAGGGTGGAATTGCCCCTGTGGGTTTCTTAGGCTATAAGTATGGGAGTAATGGGCCTTATCCTTTTTTCCATAGAGCAGCTGGTGGTTTCAAACTGCTGACCCTTGGTTCGCAGACCAACTAATAACCGCTATACTACTTTGTATAGTGACTCTTGGTAGAACAGGGCTTACCTGCCTGACAGGCTGCTAACTAAAAGCTAGTTTGTACCCACCAGCAGCTCCTTGGGAGAAATATGTACTGTGTGTGTGTGCCAACAAAAATTTATTTTAAAAACAGGCAACAAAGGTCCAAGGCTGTGGTTTGTTAACTGCTAAATCAAAGGTAAGTTAAAAAAGTATTGCTACCAGGGGTCCATTCATACATGCGCAAGCTCACTCCAAACACAATGTTGGGACGTGTCTCTCTGATCAGTGGAGGACTGCTGACAAGCTCTCTCAGAAATACTCTGGTTTTGGTCTCAGGAGGGTGCTTCTAAATAGCAACAACAATAATAAAAAAGAAGGTCCAATCAAGACTGTGGCTTCTCAGGAGACTAGCTGGGTTCAAGGCAGAGAGGTCAGCTGAAAGTTAGGGCAACTGCTGGAATCGCAAAGGGCTGTCAAGGCAGAGTTCCTGAGAGGACACAGGAGGATCATGGGGGCCTGTCATGAAGACGTTTTAAGAAAATGGAAAAGGCTGGGAGAGCTGCCCTGAGGAATTTCTTTTTCCATCACAACGAGGGACCTGCTCAGACTGTGAGGGCAGCCTGGACTGCCCTCTGAGAATTTCACTGGGAAACTTTCCCTGTCCACCCTCCAGCCCTGATCATGACTCTTCGGGCTTCTTTTTGATCCTCAAACTCAAGAACCTGGGAAAGGGTCACAATTTGAGTCCCCAGTGGTGACCAAAATTGCCCTTCAATAGAGGCCAGCATCCGTCAGAGTGGGGTTAGAAACACATCTGGTCTTCTTGTTTATTTAAGGTTTCTAGGCTCTGGTAGCAATCCTGGACTTGAGCCGTGTGTGTGTGTGTGTGTGTGTGTGTGTGTGTGTGTGTGCAGGCGCGCGCGAGCGCCTGACAATGGACATAAATTAAAAAAACTATTTAAAGACAACGCTTCCATAAAACAAGGCCGGGCTAACAAAAAGTCACGCATAGGCAAAGAAGCCAGGCAACTTTCAACAGAAATCAGTAACATGGAGAAGACCTCGGGCGGGGCATCTGCTTCCCACCCCTTTCCGGAGGGAGGCAAGCCTTACAGTTATGCTCCCAAAGTGACAAAGGCGGCGCTCAAGTTAACAAGGTTTGCCCCAACCAAGTCAACAATCCAGCGACGACCTAGGTGCTTCGACGAACTCCAAAGAAACCCGGGTCATCTTACTTCTTGGAAAACCTATCTCCAGATTCCACAGCTCCCAAGCGCACCCACGCGGGCCCAGCATCTCAGTCCTCGTTTGTGTTGACCCAGGCCACGGCGCAGCCTGGCTGGTGGTGGTGAAGGGTGAATGCTAAGCTCTGGTTGCGTGGTCGCCTGGCGGGTGGGGGTGCGCGGGGCGGCTCCGCGGGCGAGTCACGTGGGTGGGGAGGGGCAGAGAAGGGAGCCCCCGCCCCCCTCGGGGCGCAGCCCCAGAGCGCTGTCAATAAAAACATGGGCTCACCCCACACTCCGCTTTGCTGAGCGGTGCCTGCCCGGGACTTCGGCCCAGGGGGCCGGGGAGGCGAGAGCGCCCGGCT